ACTATCATATTATCTATCTAAAATCTGTTTATATTCATTCCAATCCAAAAATTCAAGAACCACTTTCTTGAATTTAAATATCACTCATCCAATTATTTGATTCTTTTCTTGAGTCTTCTTGATTACGTCAACGTAAAGGATGTATGATGATTGTGGATTTATTTTTCAAACTCGGTGTTTTGTGGGTAGTACGGTATGCAGTCTGGCTATTGATAAGGAGTACATATCAGATTTGGCTAGTATCACGATAGTGGAAAAATTGGGATTACCTTTGCAACAACACCCTAGGCCTTATAGGATGACTTGGTTGAAGGAGTGTAGGAAGGTAGATGTGACCAAGCGGGTTTTATTGAATGTCACCATTGGGAGATATAGTGATGAAGTCTGGTGTGATGTACTTCCATTAAAATCTTTTCATATCTTGTTTGGGAGACGTTGGATGTATGAGAGGAAGACTATTTATGATGTGGAGAGGAACATGTATAGGTTTCTTCAGGACGGGGTAAAAATCACTCTGGCTGGGTTGACACTAGAACAATCATTTGCAGATCGATGAAAGGTGAGAGGTGAGGCAGATGAGAAAAGCAAAAGAGGGAGATGACCACACCTAAGGAGAAAATCGGAGTTGAATTGCAGGAGGAGTCCAAAAATAAAGAAGTTGAGGTGGAAGATGGTGGATTGAAAAATGCAGTTGATATTGGGGAGAGTTAACCAAATAATGAGCTGGAGCACGAGCAGACTGATACAAAAATTGTAGAGATGGTTCAACAAGAGAGTGAGCGAATAATGACAGAATGTGTTGAGCAAATGGTTGAAAATGTTGTGGGGAATGAATAGTAGAGTTCCATTGTTATGTATGATAGGGTGGAGACGATGCATTATGAGTACGAGGACCCATATCTCATTAAGGGAGAAGCTAACAAATTCAACCGTGTTTTGCTTAATTCTTTCTATTAGGTAGATCGCTGTACGTCGGAGTTCATAGAACAACACCTATGGGTGATTGTGTTTGTGTTGCAATACATCCATACCTACAAAATGGATGGGTACTGTGTATTGATCCTATGCCATGGAAGGAAAAATTATGCACAATGTTAAGCGGGCTAATGGTACCGAACTTATCAAATATTATCATATTTGTGGCGTTCAACTCTTAGAACTTATCAAAGGATTGGGCATCCTTTGTGGCATTCGCAAATCGAGGTTCGTTGGTTTTGTAATCAATAGGTCATTCAAACTTTGTTTTTTTGTCTGATTGCTTGGTTCAATAATTTGCGAGTCAAAATTCTACCGTTTACAATCTCAATTTGGGCTTTCTCGACGTTTTCAATTAATTCCGCGATTTTCACGTTGATCCCGTACCCGGGTTCGCGTCATTTGGTATCAGAGCTTGGGCTCCAGATTCAGGTTCTATCATTTTTGTTCTTTTGAGTCTTTTGTTTTTGTTATTCGTGTCCGTCGTAAATTTTGAGTCTTTAATCTAAAAAATTCCAAAAAATAGAGTCAAAGTTATTTTTGTAGATAATCTAGCATACAAATCAACTTATGTTTGTTTCGTTGATATCCTAGTCAATTTTTGAGTTAAAAAAAAAAAGTTCACGGGGGTACTGTTCACGTCGTCAATATTAAAAAAAAAAATTACTTGATTTATTTGGGAAGTTGACCTTATCATATTATCTATCCAAAATTTGTTTATATTCATTTCAGTCCAAAAATTCAAGAACCACTTTCTTAAATTTAAATATCACTCATCCAATTGTCTGATTCTTTTCTCGAGTCTTTTTGATTACGCCTACGTAAAGGATGTATGATAATTGGAGATTTATTTTTCAAACTCGGTATTTTGTAGATAGTACGGTATGCAGTCTGGCTATTGATAAGAAGTACATATCAGACTTGACTAGTATCACGATGGTGGAAAAATTGGGATTACCTTTGCAACAACACCCTAAGCCTTATATGATGACTTGGTTGAAGGAGTGTGGGAAGGTAGATGTGACTAAGCGGGTTTTATTGAATGTCACCATTGGGAGATATAGTGATGAAGTCTGGTGTGATGTAGTTCCATTAAAAAAATTTCATATCTTGTTTGGGAGACCTTGGAGGTATGAGAGGAAGGCTATTTATGATATGGAGAGGAACGGGTATAGGTTTCTTCAGGACAGGGTAAAAATCACTCTGATTGGGTTGACACTAGAACAATCCTTTGCAAACCGATGAAAAGTGAGAGGTGAGGCAGAACGGAAAAAGTAAGAGAGGGAGATGACCACTCCTAAGGAGAGCACCGAAGTTGAATTGCATGAGGAATCCAGATATAAGGAAGTTAAGATGGTGGATGGTGGATTGAAAAATGCAGTTGATATTGGGGAGGGTGAACCAATTAATGAGCCGAAGTACGAGCAGACTGATACAAAAATTTTAGAAATGGCTGAGCAAGAGAGTGAGCGAATAATGGCAGAATGTGTTGAGCAAATGGTTGAAAATGTTGTGGGGAATGAAGAGCAGAGTTCCTTTATTAAGCATGATATGGTGGAGACGATGCATTATTAGTAGGAGGAGCCATATCTCATTGATGAAGAAGCTAACAAATTCAACTGTGTTTTGCTTAATTCTTTCTTTCAGGTGGATCGTTATTCGTGGGAGTTCATACAACAACATCTATGGGTGATTGTGTTTGTACTGCAATACATCCATACCTACAAAATGGAAGGGTACTGTGTATTGATCATATGCCATGGAAGGAAAATTTTTCTATTTGATCCAGGTGGTGCAGTGATAAGTTGTGTGGCAGGCTGGTTATCCCCTACGCGACCACAAGGCACGGATTCGAGGACGAATCCTTTCGAAGAGAGAGATGATGATATGATCCGGGATAGGCAATCACTTGGTCGAGTTTTGAAGTCCAAATTGAAGAATTTGACGAGGCAAGGTTCAAGTTTCGTGAAGGGCTCGAGAGCCGAAACGAGTTGGATTCAAGGTTTGGAAGATATTTAGAACAAAAACGAGCAGTGTGGATAAAAACGGGCATAACTTTCAGCTCAGTTGTCGGATTTTCGTTCACGACTACATTCCGAAAATGTCACGAAATTCTGCACAAAGTTACACGGGTTCATGGTACTTTTGGGCTTGCGATCGCACAGAAACATGCCGGGAACAAGTTGACGGAATTTTCCTATTTTCGCTAGATTTCCTTGTTAGTCTAGGATTCTATTTTATTTCTAACTTTGACAATATTCTATGACCTAATTACTGTTTATTAGAATTTCTAACATTAATATAAATAGGTGATTTATTTCATTGTAAAATTAAGAACTTTTTTGACATTATGAATTAAATGAGATTTCTCTCTTTTTGTTCTTGATTAAACATGTACCGAACTTATCAAATATTATTATATTTGTGGCGTTCAACCCTTAGAATTTATCAAAGGATTAGGCACCCTTTGTGACGTTCGCAAATCGAGGTTCGTTGGTTTTGTAATCAAGAGGTCATTCAAACTTTGTTTTTTTTGTTTTTGTTGCTGGTTCAATAATGTGCAGGTCGATTTTCTACCGTCTACAACCTGAATTTGGGATTTCCCGACGTTTTCAATTAATTCCGCAATTTCCACGCTGATCTCGTAACCGGGTTCGCGTCATAGAATCCTAGACTAACAAGGAAATCTCGCGAAAATAGGAAAATTCTGCCAACTTGTTCTCGGCATGTTTCTGTGCGATCGCAAGCCCAAAAGTAACATGTGCCCGCTTAGCCTTGTGCAGAATTTCGTGCCATCATGGGCGAAAATCCGACAACCGAGCTGAAAGTTATGCCCGTTTTCATCCACGCTGCTCGTTTTCTTTCCAAATATCTTCCAAACCTAGAATCAAACTCGTTTCGGCTCCCAAGCCCTTCACGAAACTTGAACCTTGGCTTGTTAACTTCTTCAATTTGGACTCCAAAACTCGACCAAGTGATTGCCTATCCCAGATCATTTCAGAAGATGAGGAGCAAAATTTACTGCCTGCTGTAGTCCCCCTGTCAATGGTTCATCCAGTGATACTGATAATAATCTAAGTCCATCAACGCCACCATTGTACTCCACCAATGTGAGGCCAAGTTCGATTGTTTCTGATGACACCACTGATCTGATCGTGCCACTTGATTTACCCAAGGAAGGAACATTGTTGGTTCAAAATAGTCCCCAGAAGTTTGAATCAGAAATTCCCCATATACCATGGATCATGAAGGGAAATCAAATTGTTCAGCAGTCCAGTCTTGCTCTATAGTTGAATGTGATATTTTGACAGAGGAACCTTGTTCTAAACTCTCAGAACCTCAGCCAGTAGATACAAAATAAAGTACATGGCTATTAGTGAGGAAGCTCATAAATCCAATGAAAAGCTTATTCAAGAAGTTACTTCATACCAAAGCCCGTCTCAAATTGAAATTTCTGATACTTTGGTTTCTCCTACTGATGGCCGTTTCAAGGGAATACTAAAGAAAAATCCAAAAGGGTGCAGAGGGCCATGTAATTGTCTGAACTGTGCTTCATTTCATCTTCACTCAGAGAGCATTTGAGTTTTCAAGAAATCAGATGCATGATGCTAAAGAAGTTGCTTGGAGCTTGTTGTAGGAATTAGCAAATGTTCGTCATATATTGGAAAAATCTGCTGTTAATTATAATGATCTCACAACTGTCAAACTTAATCAGGTAAATTACACTTGAAATAACAATAATAGTTTTTATGTCTTTTCTTGCTGTTGCTGTTTGGTCATATGCTATAGATGCAACTGATTTCAGTCTTCCTCTGAACATGTATTCTGAATTGTGAAAATTTTTATTTTTGATAGACAGAGAACTCATGCCTTATTTATGTTTGTGCATTTTTCTACTGCATCATATAGCCATTTCCTTTATTTCTTATTATGGTTCCAAGTTGCTATTTGGTATTCTAGTTAAGTTCGAAGTTTAGTTCTTTCTGGCAGTGCCAAATTTAAGAATTACAAGCTGATAATTTTACCATTTGGAGAATCTTAGGATTCTTGAATTTTGAATGTTTTGGTGATAAATTTTGCAGGTTTTTGCTGCCACTAGCCTTTTCAATATTAATGTTTATGATCCCCAATGGTTCAATGACATGTATGCTATAGTTAGTAGATAAGCCACAAGTTGAATTCAAAAATTATCACTCGCACAATTAAATTATTGTGTTAAAAATTATTCCAAAGACAGACGTGTCAACTAGTCCAGAAACACCAGATAAATGGTTAAACAAAGAGAACTCGTAAATTATTGGTAGCCGTTATGTGAGGTAAATCATTGTACGTGGAAGGTGTCCGGATCACTATTAGGCTCTTTGGGGAGTGGTGCCTTTTCCCAAGCACATATTGGTACATGGATTAACTTGCTTTCGACGTAGCTGCAATATTCATACAGTGAAAAGGCTGTGGTGTCATCTATAAACTCTTAAGGAAAATATTGGATCCAGTTTAAGATTTTACCTTGTGTTCACAGGGAAAAAATAAAGAGCCCAAAGAGGAGAGCAAGATCTTGTTAACGTATAATAATTCGTTCAATCATGCCTTTGAGTTATCACTATTTTTGTTCAACTTATTAATGCTTATTAGTGTATAACAGGGATATCATGGTTTGTTAAAATTTTCAAATTTTGCATATGGATGGTGAGGTTCATGCATCTTTAAGTAAAATATAAGAACAATTTCAGTTATTCCTTTAAGCTCAGTATCTTTCAACGCTGTAGAATCCTATTTAAAACAAATTATGATCTTAGAAGCTGTCTGGAGGTATTGCTTCTTGTGTACAATAGATCGTGGTTTACGAGACAACTAGCATTAAAGTTCTTGATGTCATACATGGCAGACTGCGAGAAAGCGTTCTAAGCAGTTGCTTTGCTTCCTTAATGCGATGACTAGTTTAGCTAATTTCATTTCCTATGCTATTGATATGGAATATCAATACCTTGAGTTTCTTGCTTGAATCATTGCTTTTCTAGGAGGATTTTTATTTCTGTGTGTACAGGGATGGCCCCAAAGGTTGCGTGCTGGATTCTGGAATACTTGTGACATTATTGGAAGAAAACTTGCCAGTCGAATTGGTTACTCGTAGAGGTGTAAATCTGTGCGAGGTAATTGTGGGCGTACATTGTCCAGTATGACGAATGAAAGGGCAGTGCCTGGCCAAGTACAAACTGCCTCAATATCTCGTCATATGGCAGCTTGGGTAGCATTCAATCTCATTGCAGGTAATGAATTCACAAGATACAAAGAATTTAGTTTATTTTGCACCGTGTACAGAACAGAGTGGAAATTGAAATTCAAAGGAAATGAATTTTGAAATACAGAATTTTACAGACTCCAATTCAAACACCTAAAGAAACCTTGATTGCCTACACTCTGCAGGAATACCATGAACAAAGCGTTTATAATCAGTACAATAATTGTATATCATGAAGTTCTTCTGAACCCATCGTAGTCTTCTTCGGCTGTAAGCATCAAGTTCCTGGTTCTGCCATGCCCCATTTGAGAACTTTGAATTGCTGCTAGTGCAAGATCCACTACATGTTTGTGCATTGAAATTTCTGTAGTATGCTGTAAAGGGAGCCTTTGACCAATCGATTTTCTCTAGTCCTCCCCTGGTCGCCCAGTCGTCAGCATTCCACAGGCTAGAGTAAATTCTCATAGGTTGGTTCTTAGGATATGGGACACCAATTGATTCAGCATTTTTGAACACCCTAATGGGAGTGTTGTCCACCAGGAAGCTGGAATAAGAAAATGAATTAGTGACACTATCATTTGAAAATTCAGAATGAGTTCTTGTTTAGCACTTGTATATGATGTATGTATAGGTCAGTGTTTTCAACACATTGGGAATGGAAGGAGTGACCAAAGTTGAAATTTAGTAATCTTATGATGTATAATCTTATGAATTTTGAGTGACAACTAATGAATTTAAAATCCCCACATCCCCAACCCACATGCGTCCATACATAGACAATAGAAGATGAGGCTTGTTCTTACACAATGCGTTGGGGATTCCAAATGATTGAGTAGGTGTGGAAATTCTTAGTTGGGTCGAACCAAAGATAAAACTGCTGCTCCCTGCCCCCCCTGCCTTGAGTAAACACATTGGTGTGAAGAATATATGGTTCACCGGAGACATTTCCTAGGAACTCAAAGTCAATTTCATCATGCGTTGGCCCTTGAGAAGATAACTGCAACAATAACCCACAAATTATAAGCCTCAAACCATAAAACTTCTGTTAATATATATAAGTTTAACTTTCTAGACGAGGTGGTTTAAAACATACGTAGTAGGCAGTAACAGTGCCAGCAGAATTGCCAGCAACAAGTTTAAGTTGGACATCAATTCTCCCAAATAGATACTCTTTCTTGGATTGAAATCCAGAACCAGAAATCTTGTCTAAAGATAAGGAAAGAAGCCGCCCTCCATTGAAAACCTTCGCCCTGTTGCCTCCCCAAGTTAGATCAAAATCTTGATAGAAATTACCACAATTTGCAACCATGCAAGAACTCATCACTAGAGTAATAGCCAAGAACAATACTGAAAACCCTTTAAAGAAAGAAGCCATTGTATTTGAAATTTGAAAGAAAGAGGCTGTAATGTTATTGTTTGTGTCGTGAATTTGAAAGAGATGTGCTATATATAGGGGCCCTGCTGGGTTGGGGTGGGGTGTTTTTAAGAAGAGATGGAAATGCTTGTGAAGAAAAGGGCGTGGAGCTGGTGCCAGCTTGGAGCAATGAAAGCTGGATGGTTTTTGTTTGTATATTTAAGTGGTTTAAATTTTTTTGTTTTGTTTTTTCCAGCAATGATTCGGTTCTCCCCAGAAATAGGGTAGTATGGCCCTCTTTTGGCATCATCAATTTGGACAGTCAGTGGATGACAACCAAGACCATGATACTGTAATAAAATTACTGTAGGAGCTATCTAAAAGTGGATGTTCATGCACTCGTGCTTATCTACTGCTCCTTTTTTCTTCTTTTAATATTCGTACATTCTCTTGCCCAGCCCAAACCCTCCCCTCGCCTCCCCTCCCCACCTCTCCTGTATGTATTCTTACATTCTCTTGCCCAACCCGAACCAACCCCTACCCTCCCCTCCCCACCCCTCCTGTATGTAGATAGATGTGTTAAAATATGTCAAGTTGAACTACAAGTCTGCATATATGGGTCTATATTAAGAAACTGAGAAAATCTATAAATGATATTGTACAAGTCCGTGAGCTCGATTTAGCATGATCTAGAACGAATACGTCAAGACGAGGCTATGATGCTCAACGTGACTAGTTTTATATTTCTACCTAAGAGTCCATCTAAAATGAAATAAGAAACGCAACTTTCAATTTCGTTCAATAGAATAATCAAATGGTAAATCAATGGAGTTCAAGTAGACGATTCTTTCTCTTCAAGTTAATCTACTAATATAAGAACGAAATAATCTCGATGGGAAAGTTTAAAGTGATTTAGGCCACCATTTATATTGGGAGGAATTTTTTTATTTAATTTTATTAAATTTGAGGGTAGATAATTTCCCTGGCATGCTGTACGGAACCATTTTATTTTGTTTCGATAATGCATGTGCTTCAAATAAAATTAAAAGGGCAATACTACATGTACAGATATATTTTTTTTTTTATCTAATATTTTACATATGCTCACAATAGGGTGTGGGGACTACATTTTTTAGAGTTTTTTACTCACGTGGGCCCTACGCACATGTGAGAGCACTGAGAGGGTGTAATATTTTTGGCAGAGACAATTTGGTACAAATAGTTTTATTCAAATTAAAATGAGTTGACCAGTTTGAATTTATGCTTTAGACAAAGTGATTGGCTCTCCCTTGTAACCTGGACCAGGATCAAGATAGCAAACTTTTTCTCTGTATATAGCTGTAAAACAAATCATAGTCCATTTCACCTTCTTGATGTCTGCAAATTCCGCACAAAGCAAAAGATAGATGAGTAATGCTAGGTACAAGGAAATTTTCACATAAATTTTATAGGATTCCATGTGACACGAATCAATTGGCAGATGACAAAAAATCTAAAAATTGCCTGCAAATCAGTATGGATTATGTGAAAGAATCCTTGTACTTGAGCAATTTTTTAAGATAGATTATTTTCTGCGAAAACAAATAAAAATTAGTATTCGTCCCATGTAGTATGTGAAAACATTTAAGGCAGGGTTGTTAAATTGGTCAAGCTGAGTCATTCGGCTCATGTTGGCATTCATGTGTGAGGTGAGCCAAGCGCGAGTTGGCTCATCTTCAGTAATTGGCTCATACAAGTAATTCGTTGCTTGGCTCGTGCCTGCAACGGACGAATGACTCGTCTCACTTAATGCCCTTATTTTGAGGTGACCCACGCGAGGAATAGATGCTTACAAGTGCTGGTTTGAATTCAAAATGAATTGTCTTTTAAAAGAACAGATTTAAAGCCACATGACTCACGGTTGCGAAGAGCCAATGAGTTTATCCTACACATGCTCACGTGTACTGGACTGAACATTACTAAAAACATAAATAGTATTATTTAGAGCCTGTTTGTCTACCATTATTGGTAGGAAAATGGAGTAAGGAATAAAAATTTTTGGAGAAAGAGTGATTGAAATTTAAAGTAACTTTATTGGTTTGTGTGTGGAATATTTTAATGAGTGAATATGTGTAAGGAAATTTTCACATAAATTTTACTGGATTCCATGTGACACGAATCAATTGGCATGACAAAAAATCTAAAAATTGCCTGCAAATCAATATGGATTATGTGAAAGAATCGCTGTACTTGAGGAATTTTTCGAGATAGATTATTTTCTGCAAAAAAAATAAAAAAGTAGTATTCGTCTCATGTAGTATGTGAAAACATTTCAGGTAGGGTTGTTAAATTGGTCGAGCTGAGTCATTCGGCTCATGTTGGCATTCATGTGTGAGGTGAGCCAAGCGCGAGTTGGCTCGCTTCACCAAAAGTGGACTCGACTTGTAATTTTTCTAAATTTGAGCTGGAAATAGTACTTTCACTCATAATGAAGACTTTAAACTTGTAAGAAAAAGGTAAACGTAAAAAACTATTATTTCGTTAGAAGAATTATAAAGTCGTAAACATCCTTCTCCTTTATCTAGGTTTGGGATCTACTACAATACGCGAGCAAAGTTAAAACTATACGGGAGTGAGTATTTCTTACACATTTTAAAGAAAAATGAAATTTCATTGTACAATAATAAATCTATAACTTAGCGTACCAAAATATTTGCAAAGTTTATAATTGGTGAAAATCTCCAACAATAGCACTTGTCATCTTCAGTAATTGGCTCATACAAGTAATTCGTTGCTTGGCTCGTGCCTGCAACGGACGAATGACTCGTCTCACTTAACGCCCTTATTTTGATGTGACCCACGCGAGGAATAAATGCTTATAAGTACTGGTTTGAATTCAAAATGAAAGATTGTGAATTGTCTTTTAAAAGAACAAACTTAAAGCCACATGACTCACGGTTGCGAAGAGCCTATGAGTTTATCATACACATGCTCACGTGTACTGGACCGAACATTACTAATAAAATAAATAGTATTATTTATTATACTGTCCTAAGTTATTAACTACTATGTACGAATCATTTGGAGATTATTGAGTTCTATGTAAAACTGCTCGCACAAAGTAAACTGGCATTTTAAGAATATCAAATTCAAAATTCGATGTTTTGTGTGTGAGCCATGCTCTAGATTTCCTAACATTTTCCATGGTGTGGTTATGGGTCCTTACCTTCAAAATGAGAATCTCCAATTTATTTAAATCTATGGATTTGGGTCACTGCATAATCAAAATCATCAATGTGGATAATAGAATCGAATGTGAGTTTCATTCGCTTGACGCTGGATGACAAAAATGCCGAATCACTTAACATTTCTCTCTAATTTCACTTGAAAGTCGTGTGTGATTTGGACGTTCATATTGACAATTTTGATCACATAAAGAACCAAATTCACATATTTAAATAAGTTGAGAGCTCATAGCCTCACTTTTGAAGATTGTGGAACCATAACAATACTACATGAAAGATTTGGGATGCCAACCCTAATTTTTCCTATCAAATACAAAACTACATGTCTTTTTTTCTTGAGCAGCTGTGCCAGGGCTCATCCCAAAATATCCATCCTAAGGGACCATAGCACTAATGGATAGGCATGGAATTGGGGATAAACAAAACTCTCGAATCAAATTGGACGGAACGATTTTTTTTAAGTTAAATACCTGAACGAATATTTGAATCAAGAACCGACGGATTTGGTTCAGTTCTTGATTCTAGACTAAGAACCGAATCTCCTTAATTTTTTTTTTATCTTAAATAAGTCAAATTATTTTATTTTTCTAAATAACTAGCTAATTAATTTAGCACAAACTCAAAATATGATTTTCCTATTTATAATTTTCAACAAAGTCCAACTTAATCAAATTGACCTCAATTTTATTTAAATCTCTTATTCTATTGTAGTGTTGTTTCTGCCCTTTTGGAGAAATCGAATTCCAAACTCGGCTGCGTCTCTCTTCATTATTGTGAGCTCACTATTTTCTTTTTCCTTTAATTTTAACAGTCAAATATATGATAAACTCAACAAATAGAGGTTCAAAAGATATCAAGAGATTGAACTATGTGATTTTGTAAGAGTTAAGATTGAACATGTCATTAGTTGAATTAATGTAGTATTGTTGTAAATATTAAAAAAAATAATTATTGTACAGAAATCGGGAATCGAATTGAATGGAACCAAACCCAAGTAGTTCCATATTTGGTGTTCATCATGAGAATCGAACCAAATCAGACAATGTCCAACTGAAATATCTGGTGTTCATCATGCATACTCTGCATAAAAATGTGATATTTGAACATCCAATGAACATGGTCAAATATAGATTTATAATTGTAACAACTTTATTTGTCCTATTATTTCTAGTTGTCATGAAATTGACATGCTAAAATATTAGAGGTGTTGCGGAAGCCAATGCTTTGCCCATTTCTCTATCTTTTTGAGGTAGAAATGTAGGGCAGACTTGGTAAAAATATTGGAATTACTAGATTAAAAGTACAAAGTCAAGTCATGATATATGTGAATTTATTTTCGAATAATATTTATATTTGTGTGCATAGAAAAATTAGTTATTATCTTATGTATATTCTTAAAATAACATAATCGAAAATAATTAAATGAGGAGAGGTCGTGCTTTTTTGTACTCTATGAAATAGTTTTTAAGCAATTCGACGGTTATAGAGATGATAATACTCAGGGCATTTCCTCACGGGGAGTTTACAGGCACCTCACAAGGGGCCTGGGCCCCACATGTATTTTTTTAAAAAAAAATTGCAGTAGGCCCCTGCCATGTTTGTTGCCTATAAGCTGCCTGTGAAATTTTCTCCTGTACTTCAAGCAAGGTCCTAATACTTTACGTAAAGTATCGTTGGATAAAGATTAGAGCATGAGACCAGTTCAATACTGAAAAAGCCAAATTCTTTTCCTCCACTTATTTATACATTATTTGATCATGAAATCGTTTAGTTTTTGTCAGTGTCTTAAGAATCAAA